GGGTGAGGCGGCTCCATGCGCTGAGGAGAAGGGGGTGTCCTGGGGGGGCTCCGCCGCCGTCGGTCCCTCCCGGCGCCCGTCACCGCTGTGTGGTGAAGGAGGGCAAGAGGGGCCGTGGGGTCCCAAACCCCCGGGGCCGAGGCAGCGAGGAAGGGTCGCGGATGTGGGGGAGATGGTGGCGGCGTGAAGGGCTGGGCACTGGGCCGCCTGCTCCTGTCAGCAGGCTTAACCAAAGCATATCCGGCTTCATCATGAGAAAAGACCGAGTTTCATCCTGGATGGAAATGCCACAAAGGCCAGCTGTTTCCTAGAGGATGCGGAGAAATGCAAAGGGACACGAAAGCAAAAATAATAAAACCAAAATGTGCTAATTGCTTGGGCCAGAGTCGGGCTGCCCGGTGCTGCGTGGGGAGCCGGGAGCAGAGTGCTGCAGCACCCGCGGGCAGCGGTGGCCTCCAGGAACCAGAGAGCAGCTGCCAGTTATGACTTTATTCATTTTCACATTTAGATATTACAACAAAACTCTTAATAACAAAGGATAACAAGTACTATAGGAGGAGAGGAAAGAAAGCAGTGTTCTAACTGGTTTGATATATAACCGTGAACTTCCAGAGACAAGACTCAACGTGAGTTATAAACACTCACATACGCTCACTGGTAGGAAAACTTCGCACGTGCAAACACCCAAACACTCACCCACAAAACACTCACTCACACACACAGACCACACTTTTGTACTCGCACATAACCCATGTTGTAACCTACTTGCTTCGAAGGCAGCCCACTGAAACATTGAATGCTGCTGTAGCAACAACAGGTACCAGGTTAAAATATTGCAATATAAATGAAGTGTTACTTGATACACAGGTTTTTCTTCAGAGACACATGTGTATTTGCAAGTAGGGGACCCAACACTTTGTTTTCATGAGGGAGGAATGTCCTCTCAACACCAACACTTTGTAAGGGAAAATGAGACTGCGCATAGACTGGGAACAGTCATTTTAAAGGAGGATGATGATAAATAGCTTAGCTTCAATGTTGAGTTCCAGTAAAAAGCTCAAACAAAACACAACAGAGAGTGCATTGTGAACGGAGCAGGCACAATTATCGAACCCTGGGTTTTAAAAGTTTAAATATTCCCTTGTCGCTGTGGAAAGACAGACAACACTGTTGCCTCACATCTTAAAACCAAAACAGACCAGCTTCATTTCATGCTCATGCTTATCTGGAGACTGTAAAAAAAAAATGCCAGAAATAATGCAAGAGTGTGGGGAAGAGTATCAGGGTTGTACACTCTAATTTTAGTATACTTTTAAGAGAGTGAAAGTACAATTGTCTCAACAGCTCTTCAATATCCCACACTACAATTGTTCTTCATCAGCAGGAGCATCTGAAGAGGAGCCAGCGTTTGCTCGTATCATGGCTGCATTGTTCATGCAATGCTGTTGACGCAGATACAATAGGATCTGATTCCACCCCCCCATCAAGACGGTGCAAAAAAGAGAAAATAAACTTCTGTGGAGTTAAATGATTTGAAAGTTCAAAAATCAGATGTCACACCAGTGCTTTCCCTAGAGTGAAGGAGGGGATTGTTAACAATGGCTCTGATGAAGTAACCCTTTTCCACAAGGATGCTTGTGAGCAATTTACGGCTGAACCTAGAGACAAAGTGCAGCTCTCCTGGCTAGTTGGGAGTGCTGACAGCCAGCCAGGGCACTCAGATGCCTCTGTCCCATTTCTGCTGAGGAATCCTGCCAGTGCCCTGCAAGTGTCGCGCTTTGCTAGTACGTTTCTATCCCTCACATGTGGACAAGGACTTGCAGCTACTTTGGAATTCTGTGTTTCAACTATTTTTTAATTTATAGGCCTCTTTCTTGGGCCCTCTCTCAGACGGGGCTGTGTTTCCAGGCAGAGAACTGTTTGTGAAGCACTGGAAACAAGGGAGCCTGGGTCCTGCGGATAAACATCACCAAGCGAGCAGCCTGAATTTAGCTCAGCTGTCTGTCACCTTCCACCCATGTGAATGCCGGTGAAGACCCCCAGCAGCATGGGGCACATGCAGCCTTCTGTCAAGGAAACCACCAGTTCAAAAACCAGGGCAAGATGAGGGCAGGAGAATTTGGTCTGGCCTATACCCCATTGGCTGTCCTACTTCCTTGGCCTGGCTCTCCAGCATCTCCTGCCAGAGGATTCTTACTGAGTCATAACAATTACTTAAAGATGCTTAAATTCCTGGCAACTTCAGGGGACACCAGTAGAAGTCAGGGAATTCATTGTAACATGCAGTTTCCAATTCCACGTCCTGAGCCAGTTTGGCTCAGGCTGGTCCGGTTTTGTGCCTCTTTTTGCCATGGAAATCACAGCCATGTTATCCTGCTGACACAAAAAGGGAGGGGAACATTGGGCGCTCTGCACAGGCTTAGAGAATCTGAATGACAGCCATGCTTTTCCCATGTGCTAAATAAATCTCCCCATTACACTTGTGTGGAGAACTATAATTAAAACTTGGGAAAATCATCCGTAAGGACTCACAGGCTCACGTCAGGAAACGCGTAAAACCCTCTGCTGGAAAAGAAATACAGTTTGGGAAAGCAGTACATCTGACAGGAAACACAATTTTAAAAGTCCAAACCAAACCCTTGGCTCTGTGCGCAGAGGTGTGGCCTGCAAGCAGAAACTCCCCGGTGCTGAGATGCCCTGGTGCGAGGAGCTCTGCCAGCCATGGGCATGTGGAAGAGTGATGACAAGCTGTTCAGACGAGCCTCTTCACCCAGACTCCTCTGACGGTGACGTGACCGTGCTCTGTGGCTGAGCTCTCGGATTGTGAGCAGGATGGAAAGAAGTAGGTGGGAAGTGGTGAGGCAGCAGCAGAGACATCTGTAGAGAGGGGCTGCAGAGGTTCCCCAGAGCTCTGAATTCACATGATATCTTTCAGAAACAAAAGGCCCAAGTGATGAAATGTTTCCTCAAGCAAATAAATGTTTCTCAATTCCCCAGAGACAGGTACATTGTGCTGGCGGCTCTGCAACAGAAACTGGAGAGGAGCACGTTTGGCAGAGAGTGCCTCCTTAGAGCCAGGGAACTAGGGCGGCAGGAAAGCTCATGGTGCAGAACTGTCCGTCCAGGAGAATTGGGGCTTGAGCCCTGGCCAGGTGCTGCCCTCCATGTGCTCAGTGATGCCAACACACAAGGGTATGCAGTCCAGGGCACCTCATTGCTGGAGCTCTGTTCCTTCCATTGTTTCCAAAACCCTTGCAGCAACTTGAAAATAAACATTTCACTCCCTACCACTTTGATCCTTTTCCTCCCAGCAAACAACCCATTTTCGCTCTGTGTTTAGAAGCCAGCTGAAATTAACACAGCTTTGCTTTAATTTCTCACTCGAGCAACAAATTATCTCAGCACTGCTCTGGGAGAAGGGGAAGAAGGCGAGAGCAGCAGACCTGTGAGTAACCTGCTCCCAGTACAGAGTATATAAAACCCTGTTTTGCACAGGGCCTGCAAAAAGAGTTGCTATTTATCTCACTGGCAGGACTCTAGCCATCAGCTGATGACCTACTCAGCACTAGATGTGTTGAGATGGCTAAAATAATCCTGATGATAAGGCAGATTGACAGGTTTCCCCCCAGCAGAGATGAGAGGGGTGTGGGTGTTGCTTGCACAGGAGATGGAGAAGCTGGCACTTACCCAGAATGAATGTGTATGAACATTTACAAAGATCCCTCGGGATCTCTCCATACACCTCTTTAAAATGTCCTGCTCTTGCTGCTAATACCACTAGGGATTTCTTCCCTTTGATTCTGCTCTGCAGCTCAGCAGCTGACATCATGAGGAGAAGAGGAGGAAGCAATCCAAGGAAAAACATTCAGGCTGCACACCAGGAAGAAGCTTGAGACTAAGACAGATCTATTTATATCTGACCTGAAATGGGCTTTCTGAATGGGAAGCTGATCTGAGTGGAGGCTGGATGCTAGGCAGAAGGTGCTGTAGTGCTGAACACAGGCACCCACTCGCTGGCAGAATGCATCTGTCTGAGCCACAGGAAGAAAAGAAATGTCAGGAATCAGTGAGGTGCTCTCTCCAGTCCCGGCATGGGGAAGCTGCAGCTGGAGGTGCTGCGTGGGCCATCATGCTGCGGTTCCAAGGACATCAGTGTTCCCCATCCGTTTGGGGTAGGTTCCCTGCTGGGGTTGGGCATAGGTTGAAGGAGAAGCTCTGAGTGACCCTGATGAAGTGCCTGGAGGGTGAGAGGAGATGCCTCGGCAGGCGCCTCCAGGGCCTGATGCCATTAGTACTGCTCAGAGAAGAAGGAAGCATGGAGAGTGGGGGGACTGGCCCCCTCTCCAGGCGGGGTGCAGCTGCCGTCCTCAGAGTGTTCTGACAGCTCCCCGTATTCACTGTTGTAAAAAGTCTGGCCTCCGACTTGGGACCCGTACAACGGCCGACATCTGCCCCGCAGGTCTGACTGTTCTCCTGGCAGCTCCGCAGTTCGGCTGGGCCCTTTACTGCTGTGAGGGAGAGAGACACAGAAGATCAATCTGAGCACTTCTGGAAGGCCTCTGTCCTGCTTAGAGAGATCCCAGCTTCAGAAAACATCATCTGCTAATGCACGGGGCAGAGGCAGGGTCAGGAATGGACCTACACCTCCATTTCAAAGCACACCACCAGGCCTTGCTCTAAACCTAAGCACAGCCCGTATGTTTTGTGAAAAATCTGCACATAACTTGGCGACAGAGTTATTTCAGCTCTTCTAGATACCTTTGGGAAGCCCAGGGAAGGGTTGGGACCCCAATGAGCAGGGAGAGACAAGAGACATTGCCTCAATTGCTCCTAGACCTGGCAGGAGTAACAGAAACTGATACAAACCAACAGCCAGGATG